TCTGCCTTCTGAGCTTAGACGTATTCAAGAACGGTTTTCATTTCTTCATTAAAAAAAGGTATTAACCAGGCAAGACTTTTACAGTAAATACGAAAGCGTGAACTCGTGGTGGGTATCTCAAACTCTTAGACCATTTCTTTCTGTTTAAACATTATAAATAAAAATGTTATTTTATAAACAAAATAGAAAATAAGCAAATAACATGGCACAAAGCAATATAAATTCCCTTCAACTGGCAATAGCGTATACTGATGTTCCATACAAATGCCCTTTCTTATATTTTTGGCAAATAAATCGCGTTCTGTCATTTTACTAGGACACAACACGTTAAATACACATATTTTATAAATTTCTTTACTTTTTATAGTAAGTGATTCATTAATATTCAAAACCAATTTATTTTTAAAGATTGCATATTTGTTTGGTTTTTATCTTCATTCTGCTCTTCTAAAGGATTTAGTCCGAGTCTTTTCAGTAACAAGCTTCTGTTATGAAATTTCTTTTTAAACGGTTTGATAATTTTTCTTTAACAATAAAATAATCGTTTTGAGAGACTAAAGGTTCCTCTTCTTTTTCAGTGTCTGTATCTTTTTCAATATAGGAATTGAAATTATAAAGTATTTTGTAGCCCCTTTCCGCATGCCTTCGTGGTATAATGGCAGCACACTCGGCGCGTATTCGAGAGGCCCCAGGTTCGAGTCCCGATGAGGACACTGCTCATTTTTCACATCTCCTGCTTTAAAAAATCCCTATGCTTCTACAGTGGCGTCCGAACCTAAAGGTGGTGGATGATGACTCTTCATTACCAGGACTTGGCGACTGGGTCCCCTAATCCCCAGTCGCCCTTTGAAAGGTGGAGTATATAAGGTGTTTTCTCCCTCCTTCCAGCATGCCTTCATGGTGTAATGGTAGCATACTCAGCGAGTATTCGAGAGGTCCAGGTTTGAGTCCTGGCAAAGGCATTGCTCATTTTTTCTGTACCCTTGCTTTAAAAATGCTAATGACACTACAGTGGGGCCCGAACAAAAAGGTGATGGATGATGATTCTTCACCACCAAGATTTAGAGATTGGGTCCCCTAATCCCCAGTTGCCTTTTAAAAGGAGGAGTATACAAGGTTATTTTCTCTGTCCTTTTTGCATGCGTTCGTGGTATAACGGTAGCGCGTATTCGAGAGGCCCAGGCTCGAGTCCCGACCAGAGCATTGCAAGGCAATTTTTAGCGTCATACAGGCACCGATAAAGAAGTCTGCCAGTCTAATAAACATGTTTGAACCACGGAGGAAAGAATAAGAAGGGATGATATTTCATGATGCTTTGGAGTTTTTGATAGTCAAAGGGGGTGTGGCATTGGTGCGAATAAAAGAACGTGACATAACCAACAAAAGCATACAATTCGGATGTCTGATATCAGGACGAATGCTCACGGCTTAATAATTTATTTATCATCGCTTGTTTTTTGTCCTTGTCCATGCATTTGCCATATTTTTAAATTTAGGCGCCTTTAAAAGAGAAAGTAAAATAAATTTACCCCCGTAGTTAATGTGTGATGTTATTCGGCGAAACCAAATTCGTTTCGCATAACATTTTTCAGCCCGTGTATGAATGTGTTATGCGAGGCACTACTCTATATGCAAGACAATTTATAGCATCATACAAACGTCGATAAAGGAAACCTGAAACTACCCACTCTCGTAAACATTTATAAACCATGGAGGATGGATAAGAAAGAGTCGCCATTTTTCTCCGTGGATGTCGTATTGCTCTTGAGCTTTTGATAGTCAAATGGGGTGTGGCACTTTTGTTCACATTCAGTGCACCATACTTTGACAGTTTATTTTGAACTTAAATATCTGACGATACCCCGACGTAAAAATCTCCGTACCTTATGTGTGAAGATGAATAATAATTTGATACGTCTGCTGAGTTTAAGTCGAAAATGTAGGAGCAACTTGGAAGGAACAAATTGAACATTATTTTGAACAAAAAATAAATACAAGAAAACCACAACTAAAACATAATGGAACGAGAAATTATATTACTAACGCAAATTGACTTTTGTTATATGAATCGTTTATCAAATTTAAGTAGTTCTCAAAGACACTATAGGAAAAATGCATGGGAACTCATTCAGGTAATTGAAGAAATTTTATAATTATTCTTGAAACGCACTGTAATGAAAATAAAAAAATGTAAATGTAATGAAAAGCGAAATGAAAACTAATGTAATGCAATAAAGTAAACATGAAAATGAATGAATGTAATGTAATAAAAAGTACTACAAAGTTGCGTTTTGCATTATCGATAAAAGAAAATCATAGCGTTAATATTTTTATTTTATATTCATAGACAAATTTCTTTAAATTTAGGAAGTGGTACAAAATGTTGCTTTACTATTTTCGTTTAAATAAATTTAACTATTAAAATGACATTTAACGTCATGAAATTCATATGTATTTTTCAATAATTTGGAATATTTGAAATACTTTCAACAATACTTTCAACGAAGAAAAGACGAAGTGAAAAACTGATAAACTTTTCACATAAAATACCGCATTCTCAAACTTGCAGAATAATATGCACTTTTGACAGTTAATTCAAAGAGAAGCAAACGGAATCCTTTACTTCGAGAATAGATTAGTTTTTTAGTCCAAAGAGGCTTTGTCTCTGAAGGACTACTGTTTTCGTTTTGCGATTTTGCGTTGAATCACTATAAATGTCCGTCTCACTTTTCAAACTGTTGCCACCAAATGTTTCTGCATTAAATTTGAAGAAATTAAATAATGAAGAATTTACATAAATGTATGTATATTTCTCGAATTGTGATAAAATAACGGTACATATAGAGCCATCGAATTTTGAATGACGTAATCCAATAAATGTCCGTTTCACTTTTCAAACTGTTGCCACCAATGTTAGAGTCTTGCATTATATTTGAAGAAATTAAATAATGAAGAATTTGCATAAATGTATGTATATTTCTCGCATTGTGATAAAACAACGGTACATAGAGCCATCAAATTTTGAATAACATAATCCTCCTACGAATATGGGCATGTGGAAAACCAAATTTGAAATTTGGAATTTGTTTTATTATCGATTTCATATTTTGTAAATCCTTTAACGAATTTTGACTAACAAACTCAAGGATTTCAAAGCGAGCAATGGCAACACTCTACGGGAAAAAAAGATCTTTTTATCTCCAGCGAGGAGCTGTGTATTGGAAATTCTAAAGATATGCTCATTTTAAAATTATTTTGCGAAATTGCTATTGAACTGAATTTTATGGTTTAAATGCAAAGAACATGATATTTAATAAATAAAGGTAACACACAAAACGTTTAAAAAACGCCCCTTTGGTAGTAATTTAAAATCTGAAACCTTTCAGATTTTTTTTTTAATCTAGGGAAAATATTTAATATGAAACAAGAAGACTATTAATAATACTACATCAGGGAAAAGAAAAAAAAAGGGTTGTTTACTTTTGAAATAAAGAGCTCGTCTACGACAGCCCAGAAAGAAAGCATTTTATTCACTAGTGTTTATAAATAGCCAGTTAACTGGTTAAATATTTAAAACTGACGAGAATGACATTAACGGCAAACTGCATCTATGAAGTTAAAAAGAGGGTACGGTTATTTGAATATGTCAAAGCATACATAGGACTATCCGCTTAAGAGAAAGTATGCCTTCGTGGAGGACGTTCTAAGGGAATTTGACTGCTATTCATGTTACATATAAGGAAAACTACAGAAACCAACCATGTAGCCAAACCATTAATCTGCGTTCGAACCCGGGACAAACCATCAGAATTCATTTACCGCTTGGTCAGCGGTAATGTGGAAGACATACATAAAACTTTTAAATATACTAAATGATTGCAAATTACTTTACTGGAAAAATGCAGTCAATGCACAGAAAATAAAAAATTGCACATGGCTAAAATATATATGAGAATTTATTTATACATATCTTTTTAAGAAACATGAAATTTCTTCCAATTAACTGAGTAAATATTAATTAAACTATTTATTAATGTATCTGAAATTATTCGTTCATAAACTCTCGTGAAAGTTACTATTACTAAGAAATTTCTTTACTAAGTATATATTACGTAATTACTAACATTTAAACTGTTATTGACAGTACGGCCTATTAAAGGTCTGTTAAAAGTAAAATCAGTAAATTCTATTAAAATGTTATGAAAAGTAAGGTGGAACTCTTAGAATGTGTAATGGTGAATATAAGGAGACAAAATTTTGATAAGTATTAAAATAATTATTTCCTTATATTTTATAACAATTCCTTTGCATGTCTTAAAGAATATTAATAAATTTTACCGATCAGTAATATTCAGCATATTTAACTATTAATGTTAAAGGTATTTAAATTTGAAAACAGAATTAATTATAATGACAATATGATTTTTGATTTAAAGGACAGTTCAGAAAAGATAAAAATCATCTCATATTTCAGAAAGAGATTCTACAAATAGAAAAGAAACAACGCGCAGTTTTATTGTTAATAATACAATAAAACTTTAATTTAATATTAATTTTTATTAATAGTTAACTAAATAAACATTTCTTTCTGGTGCAATTAACGTAAACTTGTGAAACAGGTCATTAAAATTAAAAATATAGGAAAAGCAAAACAATTTTATTCCGTTTAGAATGAAATATTGCTTAAAAAGTAATTTTTTTAAATAGTTAGGACTTTGAAATAAATATATATACATTTATTGTTATACTTATGATACAAATACAGAATGTTTACCGCCCAATGAGTAAAACCGGTAGATCTTTTAATGGTAAACCACTGAATGTTTGATAAATAAGAGGTTTGCCGTGTTCACTTCGTTTGAACGGCAAAAAGCCGTTAAGCGTTTCCTTTTATTCCTTCCTCAGGGGTTTAAACAAAGAAATATTTTTGTTGCGAAAAACGAAAGTACATTTAACTAAGTTTTACATGTGAATGGTGAATAAGTAAATCCTAATGTTACCTGCTCTAAGACAATCAGGTGTCCTACAGAAGTCAGAGATGCTGAGAAGAGATTTCAAGTGTTCTTTGTCCGCCGGAAAATCGATAGCTTGATTTAAACCTACAAGAGAACATTACATGTATTCTAGACCGCGTACAATTAAACATTGTTATGGATCGAAAAACAAATCCCAAGTATTACGACAACATGTAATATCTCTGCTGTTAGGCATAGTTTTATCTTTTCTTTTTTGCGTTATCCCCTAGATAGTTTTCTTTTGAGTTGATAGTTTGCGATAGTATATTTTAATATAGTATAATATAGTTTTGCAGTACGCAAACTTGATGGTTTTTTTAAGCATTTTCAGCAACTCGATTACACCAACCTCGATTTATCGAAAGTCGCTATATATATATATGTAAGATAACAACAACAAAAAAACAAAAACAAAACAAAAAAAAAAAAATCAAAATTATAGTTTAAAATGTCTCTTAATTGCTCATTTTTAATTTGGGTCCTTTGTCTCTAGTAATAACTTTCTCTAAACTGCGTCGTATCTGAAAATTATGCCATCTTGAAACTACTGCATTGCATATAAGTTTTAGCTAATCACATTAACGAAAAATTTTACTATAAATATTGTGGCAATCCTACTCCCACCCTTTTCTCATCTATGGCACCGCCTATTAGAACTTAGCTATCCTTGCCACTAATATGTAGCTCTGAAATTCCCTCCAAGATCTCCAGCAGATTCTTCACTTCCCCATGTTTTTGGGCCATTTTTTTTTTTCTTTTGAATGCTGATAACCCATCTTGGGATCTACTCATGTAAACCTCATCAACATGCCCATCGCGAAAATATCTCAAGTTGCAGGGAAGTACTGCTGCTGCAGTAGAAACCCTGCATAATCACGTTCGTATCAAAGTATCCTACCTTTTTTTCTCTGCTTGTGCTTGCTGTTTGGAGGACGCCTTTTGCTTTGCTGCTTTTGTTTAAAATGTAATGCGTCATCATCAAAATTGTGGAGTGCAGATTGTCCACCACTGTGAAGTGCCACAAGTAATAAAGGTATATTTGGAATGATTCTTCAAACGTTCCCGACTGCCAAACTAAGTTTTATCATCACAATAAAGAGTCGGCAGGACTGCTGCTAACTCGCATGTACCTGAAAAAAATGACGTCAGCGAAATGTGTTGATTCCAGAATCAACAGTAACGGTCTTCTCGTGATTAAAAAGTGTGCCGTCAAAAAGTATTTCCATCAGCAAAATCACTGTGCCTAAAGTATAAATATTTAAAGTGAAAAGAAAACCATTCTTAAAAATTAATAAAGTGAATTAATGAAAGTGAATTAATGTGTCCGAAGGTTCCGAGTTTATTTCAACAACGCAATCTTATGATTATCGAGGTCATCGTTCTTTCTGTGAATAATTTCACACTATTTCTACAGCTATTTCATCGTGTAATTTATGCTTCAGCAAACTTCTTCATTAAAAGTTAGTTCAAAGTTGCTTTTCTCGTCCAAGCTGAATTGAAAAATGGAAATGATTTTTCTCGAATGATTTATTCATCAACTTCTGATTTTTAAGTTTTGTGATATGGACTTTTTTTTAACAAAAGGTTTTTTTTTAGGTACAACTAAAAATATCATTTTTTAAAAATATCTGATTATTAATCAATGTCATTATACTAAAATCTAGGTATGCTGTTTTTTAAAAATTGTACAGAATTTTTAAAATGTTATATCCTTTTATTAAGAGTAGAATTTTATAGTATCAAAAATTTGATTTTCACAATTATGTTTAATAACGAATTTAAAAGATTAGTAAACATTTTTTTATGGAAGGTTATTAACATGATTAATATATTTTTGCATTATTGTTTAAATACTTTTGAAATAATAATCTGATTTTTTAATCATTTTAACAAAGAAATTTTTATTTAAAAATTTGAATTCTAAGAAAGAATTTTCTAATCATTTTAAGAATGAAGTGACATAAATTTTGAAGGCTGGCCACTTTTTTTCGTATATAATAATAATTATTTTTTAATATAATGGAGTGTGGCTAATTCTTTAAGTAATGGAATGATAGAGTAGTTCAAAAAGGCCAGTTGCCTCTATCCAAGGAACGGAGGCCTTTTATATTGTAACTGCCAATTTGGCATTCTTTTGGCCACCGGTACAGAATAAATACACTAGTTTGCTCAATTGGATAAGCCAATATGATGGATATGTTAGTATTTAGAAAAAGCTACGGGGTCTTCAGGTTTTGTAAAGAATAAGTAAAATATAAATATCTAATAATAGTAAAAAGCATAATTTCAACAAAATATTTCAAATAATGTTTCGAATGATAACTAATTACATTATAGTATTTTGAAATTTCTTGTAATTTTGTAACGTAATTTATAGATGCATTTTAATTTTTATATTTGAATGGTTAAAAAAAAAATCTTTCCTAAGCAGGTTATCAGGGTCTATGTTCCTTCTAACCTTCTTCGGGAACATACAAGGACCTGACTCGGAACAGAGAGCTTACTAAAGCTATGTTCACTAATTGTGGTAAGTAGACAAGATACAGACGAAGGGTATACAAAACCCTTTATTTTTCTCTATATACAATAACTTCCGTACTTCGGAATACACTGACCCTCCACTTGGGGTCTAACGTAAAAGTATAAAAAAAAAACTAACTCTAATTTAACTTTAGAATAATACACGTGGAAGATTGGCCTTATATTAACAGGAAGGCGTATGTAGTACAGATAACTGAGAACACTACAATACGTTTAAAAGTTATCAAGAGGATTAAAACCTCTGGCCTGGAAGGCAAACAGCAACTGCTGCGTAACTTCTAAGGTAAGCGGCCTGCTTTGACTCAACTGCTTCCTCTCTCTCGCTTGGCAAAAGGCCACAACTTAAATACTTGGCGTTCGCCGGACAAACTTTGCATAAAAACCTTAACGCTTATAATTCTGGCCGGAAGTAGAAAATAAGAAGTGATAGTAAAGATTTAAAATAAAAATAAACGTTAGTAAAACTTAAGATCCTTACAAGGTAAAATTATGAAGTTTCTTTAATCTGTAAAAGAAAATTTTGGTTTTATTTTGACAACAACAATTTTTACCGAAGATTTTCAAACCAAGGATTGCAAAATATGATTATGATACTCAAGTAAATATTCCAAGAACTGTGAAATTTTACTGTTATTTATTTAAAAAATTAGGATTTTTTTTTACAGTATGTTTACAGAAAAATGAATTTGCAAAATTTCAGTAGCATTTTAAATTTACATTTCTTGTAAAAAATTATGTCTACAAGATTTTGTTATTTTAAAACATTTAGATCGAAATATTATAATTATTTTTAATTGTATTTCCTTTGTTTCACTACTATTTTAATGCTTTATCCTAAAAAGGCTTTTCAGTTGCCAAGCCTTTTTTCTCTTTGAAGGGGGGATATGTAAGAAAAAAAAAGAAAATCGAAATTATAATTTAAAATGCCTCTTAATTGCTTAGTTTTAATTTGGGTATTTTGCCTCTAGTAATAACTTTCTCTAAACTGCGTCATATCTGAAAACGTATTCCGCATAATTCCATCTTGAAACTACTGCATAAGTTTTAAGCAATCAGATTAAAGAAAAATTTTGCTATAAATATTGTGGCAATCCTACTGTATTGCATAGTATACTGTATTGCATACTACTGTATTGCATAGTGTATAAGGTACTGTGCGCAGAGTAATTGGAACGCCCTGACAAATCGTGTACAGAACTTATCAACAGTGTACAGAGCTCAACACTGACTAATCACAGATTACTACTTGCATGTCCATGCTAGTCCATGCTTAACTGAACAGTGTAGAACAAATGTGTATCCGACTTTGCATTGTGTAACCATTCTGTAAGCATTGTGTATATAACAAGCATCATGTATCTATTATAATCTAATATGCACTGTGTATTCTACAACATAGTGTTTCTCCTACAGTCATTGCCAGTACTGTATTACACACAAACGCGTTATACAAACTATCTGCAATAAATATGCACCTCATTCTGCACTGAATTTGTCAAATTCTGCACAGTATCTGCTGTATATAAGCATATAATTACTATGCAACTATCTACATTGCGTGTGCACTACCTGCAATAGCCTTACAACCTGTTGTGTATCTGACTTTGCACTGTGCATTTGTTCTGTGAGCAATGTGTATATAAAAAGTACTGTGTACCTACTTTAATCCAATAAACACTGTGCATCTAATTAATATAAAATAAGCTCAGCGCATTCTATAACATAGTGTCGCCACTACAGTTATTGCCTGCACTCATATCTGTATTACTCAAACTATCTGTATTATATCTGCACTGTATATGACATATGCATAATGTATATTCATCTATATCTATCAATATTGTATCTGCATTACCTGTATAATCTCATAGCTTCGCATAGAAATATATAGCTTGGCAACATAGCATGCATGGTGCTGCGTACTTATAATTGTGTGTATACAATAGTATAGATTTTTTTAATGTGTAAGTATAATTGTGTTTATATAATTGTGCACATTGTGCTATATACCATAGTATAGTGTTTTTATTCTGCGTTTTAATACGTTAGTATAATTGTGTTTGCATAATTGTACACCATAACTGTGTTGTATATAGTAGTATAGTGTCTTATTTCGTTTGTACAATTGTGTGCAGTATAAATTCTAATATCTAATGCTTTACAAGCATAGTGTTATCTGTTTTTTACATTGTGTATCAATTCTGTAAGCATTATGTATATAAAAAGCGCTGCATATCTATTCAAATTAAATAAGTATTGTGTACCTGATATAACGTATTGCATAATGTATTCTCCAGAGTAAAGTTTCATCTGTAATTACTAGATCTCTATATCATCTAATAACAAATTTAATATTCTACAGTGTGCCTGCATGCTTTATGTATGTTATTTTTTTGCGCATTTTACATGTGATATGTGATCTAAATGTGTCTAAATGATCTAAATGTGTCTTTAGTGTAAGTGTATACTATATATTAGCTTAAATATGTTTCATTATAAGTATGTGTTTTACTTGTATAAGTGTGTGCAAACTAGTATCTAAT